AAAATAACATATTACAACTAAATGGTAACGGGAACAATTAACATTGATAAATATGTAAGTAGTATGTTAGGATAGAATAACACCGAATAGTTATTTTAAAAGAAACACAAAGTAATAAATATACATACATTAACAAATATATATACATATGATAATACAATTCATTAATTAGAGCCACGAAATAATAAGATCGAGCAATAGGGTGGCAGAGCGAGGGGGTGGCCAGAGCTTGTCAAGAGTTCAGTAGGATTGTGTAGCTCCTATTGTTCAATTATTCGGACAAGTGGGTTACTCTTGCAATCTAATTAACCGACAGAAGTGAGTCATGGAACAGAAGTGAGTCATGGAACAGAAGTGAGTCATGGAACAGAAGTGAGTCTTACGACAACATATAAAGAAGATCATTCTTTCAACACGAAATCATGTATGTGTCTCTCCCAGCCTATCAGAAAAATGAACGCGTCAAAATGTCCAACTATAGCTACACATTTTCCGCACGTAGCACTGATGCGCCCTTTGGCATGGTCAAACTAGGTCAGGCATTACACAATGCATGCATCAAATGTCGGGCGAGACAACTTTAATATTGAAGATGACATAAAAACATGAGAAACATATAAAATAACATAACATTTTCAAAATAAAATAGGTTGCTTCATCAAAGTTATGGATATATAAAGTTCAAAATGTTGAAGGTATAGTCATATTGACGGCCAACAATTATTGGCCGTTCGATTTTCGAGGTTATCAATAAAATTTGCACGTCATGATGAATATTTTCATAAATATGTTGACAAGAATACATTTCTAGCTATAAAATTACTATGCGACATATACAGCACTAATAACAAAATTATGCATAGTAGGTACTGTAATTAGAATATTTAAGCGAAATTTAGTTGCCTGTTCTGCAAATTTTCTATAATGAATTATATTATCAAAGTTTTGCTTATAAATACCGAAATAAATTATCAAGTCACTTTAATTTTAGAAATATTACCGAAGCAGGAGTTTATTATTTGCATAAACATTTATCGCTGTTTCATGCCTACACACAAGTTATTTCTAACAAAGTCTAAGCGATATAAATGTAAACATTTCATGCATATTTAATCTCTCCCCCTAGAAGTTGTGGACAATTTTACTACATGCCGTTGGACTGAATATTGAATATGAATATGATATGAATATATCATATGGATATGAATTTTACTGAATGTCGCGCATCTCTTCATAGGCTGGCAAACTTTTTGCACCTTAATAGAACCGTGCTTAGTGCTTAATTAATAGTAATTAATTAAGCGTCAGTAATTTCAGTCCTCATATACATTAAACCACCTAATAAATATTTATTAACAGAAGTGCGCTGAGATTATGCAAACAAGCTACGCATTCACCGAGAGCATTTACCTCCAGTAAATTACATGCGAGAGTTGTTTGTACGCTTTAAATGTTAGTATATTAATGAAGGTTGCTGCATGGTGTGGCAGGAAGTTGTGCATCTTGGTAAGCACATGGTTCGGTGAGAGCATATTCCGTTTTATGAAGTTAATAAACATTTTTGGGGGGTTAACTACAACATGTAAACAAGAGGCTCTGTATGCAGAGACGCTTTTACACGTAACCTGATACACGAGCCATGTGTTCGTGCTGTGTGTGCTGTACGGAAGCACAGACGAGAATACCGTGCAATGCATGCACAGCCGCATTCAATGCTATTCATGCTTCAATGTTTCTACAGTCAATACGGCGATTGTAGGCACAATCAAATGAAAATATAATCAGGTTGCAAATAAAAATATTATCAAGTTACGCATATCAGAAAAAAGTCCCATATAGAACTGTGAAGCATATATAGTCAACGGAATGGGTATTTCTGATTGAGGAAACATAATTTAGAAATGGTCAATAGTATTTTTATCAATGGGAGAAAAATTACAGTTTTTCTGATATATAAATTTATATATTTCCGTTCAAAGTTAGCCTTGTTTTAAAGAATAATCACCACATGGACGACTAATATTATTTGTTGCAACGCGGCTCATAGATAAATAAATGAAACTCTGCTCAGTCGCTTTTCCAGCAGCATCTCAAAACTCAGGATGGCAGAGCATGCTTATGAAAAGATTTGTAATGTCATTTAACGTCTAAACTTATTTCCAAACCAAATTAATTCTCCCGCATTCGTAAAAATATACGTTGTCTTCTGACGAAAAGAAATATTCTTTCAAAACTTCGTGATGCTATTCTTATCGGACATTTGTTATCTATGCCGATAGATTCATCACCTTATTTATGGACCAATCTCTACCTGAAATCTGAGAAGCCTTCTGACACTAATACTGGACACTTCGTCTACTTTTTCATAATGCTATTCCTATATGCACTTTCTGTTATATTTTTGTTGTTACTTAGAATGGCTTAACTTTTTTCTGACTCCAACAATGTTATTCCTACCAGAGTCCGTAGAGGTAGGTAGTACAGATTGACAAAACCTGTCAATTCGTCCAATTTTCTTAAAGTGCTATTCCTACAGGCCTTGTTCGTTAGATTTTTTGCTGTTATTTTGAACGGATCAACTTTATGTTACTCCAACAATGTTATTCCTACCCGAATCGGCAATGCAATCAGGCTCTTCATACTGACAAATCCTGGTGACTAAGTCTGAATTTTTCATAATGATATTCTTACATACATCATTTGTTATCTTTTTGTTGCTCATTTAAATGACTATATTTTTCTGAATCCAACAATGTTATTCCTACCAGAGTCGGAAAAATAATCAGGCAGTATATAGTGGCTGAGCGAGACCACGTGTAGAGGCCGTTAATGTAAAAAAACTGTAAAAAAAACTTCTCACATTCTCCAACCAACAGCCTACGTAGGCCTTAGTCATTGACTCGTCTTGCCTAAGAAATAAATGAACTTGTTTTAAAAATATGAAACTTTCGATCGGATGACATCCTTTGATAGCCAAACAAAAATGTTTCAGATATCTGCAAATAAAAAATTCTTTCGCCTACGGTTCAAATAATCAGAAATCATATGAAGCTGAATAAATACGTTGAGATGTATTCTAAGAAATTATGCGCTAGTATGTAATCGAAATATCAGAAGTTATTCAATTAAATTTTATCGTGAATTTTAATTGAAACTGATTTGTTACGAAAATGCGAAAAGAATTCTTCTTCTTCAATAATTTCTTTAGATACCGGTACACAATAAATGATACAACACTGTGATTCGTCGACAGTTATAAAAATAATCACAGGTCATACCGAAATCGATCTTTCCTGATCACATTTGTACTCAGTAACTTGTTGAAATTCTAACCTTCGTCAACTATACAATCTTCGCATGTCAAGCCATGTCATTCTTTCAAATATAAATTTTACAAAACCTCGTTCTTCAATCGCATACAGATAAAAGGAAATCAGTTAATCCTCAGATATCGTTTCGTTAAAAGAAGTCTTTTGCTAAAACAAACTCGAGGTCTTGAGAAGCTCGGGTTTAAAAGCACGCAAGATAAGACCTGACCAGACGCTGCGCCGGAAGTGGCCTGCTGCTTCACTTGTGCGCAGCGTCAGCAAGCAACCGCGTCAACCACGGCACATACTCGTACATGCTGACATACTTCATCTAGTGTGATGATAATTATGCTACGTGTTATGATGCTAGTTGTTGTGATGCTATTTATGTTAGGTGTTGTAATGCTGGTTGTTGTGATGCTACTAATTGTTGTGATGCTAATTGTAGTGATGCTAATTGTTGTGATGCTAGTTGCTGTGATGCTAGTTAGTGAGCTATATGTAGTTGTTGTGATGCTGGATAGTGTGCTTTACTAGTTGTTGTGATGCTAGCTAGTTTTTGTGATGTTATAGTTAGTTGGATTATTATTTATCCCTATGTATGTCACTCTCCGGGAACATAACTTTCATATTAAATTATACGTAAACTATTGAGTGGTAGCAACCTGAGGACGTTTGTACGTAAAAGAGAACATTTTAAAGGTGTCGTACGTGGCGGCAACCATCAGTGCAAGTCATCCGGCGCTCACTAGCAACGTATTCTCTTTGGGAAGTAAGCTTGTGACAATGTTGCTCCGGTTACTCATGTCGGGCGGAAGGGTATAAATCAAGTATATATCATTATATAATGTCAATCACAAATATCGGCTGCAATTCGCTATATTTTTACCTCGGAATTTGGGCATACCGGTATATATTCCTATGTCACCCGAACAGTAAGCATGATTCTTCGAATTTTCAGCCCAAACTATAAAGTATTTTGCCAAATTTCATATCAAACATGAAATAAGTTGCAAAATTTCACCTCGAAAATCGGGCACGAGCTGCCAAATTTCATCAGGAACAATGTATTGCAACCTTAAAAAATACATTGGATACAAGCATTGGATACATTGGATAAATTGGATACAAGCAGTCAAATTTTAAAGGCATAGATACTCTTGCTCGCAACATGACACCTGCACAATTTACACGTACTGCAGCTGTACGTGCAAATGCAGGTCATATTTAAGTGTAACATTGCATTCAAAAATGATCTACGTTTGTTCGTGAACGTGTCGCATGCTCAGGACTGAATTTAAGTAACATCCTCGGTCCTGTTTGGCTTGCGCTAGGGTCTACCTGAAGATATTAATATCAAAGTAAAATTTAAGTTTACCCATTATTTTCTATTCCATCAGGAATCCTTGTTTAGTGTAAGCAGCAATTTCAGAGTTCTGGCGAAAATAATTCTTCACTGATTTATAAAGCATTTAGTTATTCATTCGTACTTTAATGTAATTAATGATTCCTTGGTCCATAACACCGATATAGAAATGCAATAAGGGATATAGAAATAAGAACAAGGGATATAGAAATGCAATAAATTAAAAGCTTGTAGAAACATATTAGAAGATCTGACAACCATTGAAAATTCTGCGATAAATTTTTCGTACCTTTACGTGAACATTTGAAACTAGCACAGAATCTCACCTTCTAAATCTCAGCGACGATGGCCCCAGTTTGTTGTTGCTTTTATTCTTGTTGCTGCTGGAAATATTGAGGTTGCTGTGTCTGCCCTTATTGCTGTTGTTGATATCGCTGAGGTAATTGTTATTATTGTTAGGACTGCTGCTCAAAGATTTCTGGCACATCTTGAAGTATATTTCATGACCTCCATCATTTCCCAATTCAATTATTGGTAGCGTTAGTCCGCGTTGAAGCGTTTCGAAATTGCGACCTTTATCATAAATATCAGGTGTCCACTTCGACCCATCATCAACTGAGGAGCATCGCTGCCGAGCTGTTTGCACCTTATTTGCATTGTTCTCATTTTCTACCCATAGTGTGTGCTTGAAACTTTCCTTCAATGTTACTGTTGAAGATAGACCTGAACTGTTACTTTTACACACGCTTGACTTCGAGTGCTTCTTTGCGACACTGAAAATGTGGGAGGTACGTAGAATTTTCCGCGTGCGGCCAATTTCGGTTCGCGAAGTTGCAAGCGTCTGGTCTATTCTGATGAGTTTTTTAGGTTTGGGGTTACTTCGTATAACTGGGGAGCCATATTTATTATGGTCTGTGCATGAACCGCGTACGGAAAAAGGGTACTTCCCGACTGTACTAGCAGCCCTCACAGGTACCACACGGTGTTCTAAAGGAACCACGCAGCCGTGAGGTTTGTCTGAACGTTCCACCATTATGAACACTCAAATTTGATTAAAATGTGACAGTTAATTAACCATATATGTCTTTGCTGCAAACATTTCTTCTCATAATTATTTCAAAGTTTAATTAATTATGAAAAATACTCGAATTATGCGTATTTCATGTTTAGTTCTGATTTCGATACTTCAGATTCGAAATCGATGAAATCTTGTCATATCCCAATAAAAATGTGAAAAATTTGAATTTTCAGTTAAGTTTTATGAAGCACATCAAAAAATAATCCCCTGTACCTGGTAAAATGCATTATTAAATGTTCACAGCTTAATGATTAATCATTTTTTAGATCAGCGTTATTGTATTTTTTATTTTATCAATTATATATTCATCAATTAACCGTGATTAATATCGTTATTAGTTTCGCACTGTTCAATTAAACAAGAACACTTTCTATACGCACTTATGATTAACACTTCAAACAACGCTATTATTCACAATTAAAGTCATGTAATACTTTTATCACAGTCACTTAATTATTATCTGCAAAAAAAAAGACCAAACTGAATAAAATATAGAAAGACACAAGTACTCATTCCTACAAACTAAATGTAATAGAGAAAATTATACCGACATTTACTGCTATTATTATTAATTCTGCTTTTCAGACGAATAACCACTGACAAATTAGTTAAGTTTGAATATAACTCTAATGAATTGATAATTCATGTATATAAAAATGCTAATAAAATCAAAATAAATCAAAGCCGTACCGTTATATTCAAAAGTGCATTGCCTGGTATATATTGACGCAACAGCATTAATATTCAGAGCTACCATGCAATAATGTTGCAACAAAATTCAAATAAACCTGTCAACGAAACCCCTTTTTAGTGCACTTTCTCATTTTTTGGGAAAAATGCGCTATTAATTGTGCTCGTGATGTCCGTCAGTCCATCCGTCCGTCCGTGACTTAACGTTTTCGTCGACGAGAAAATGCGCTCTCTGTCACTCACTGCAGTGAGTACTGAGTTATATTTTTTTGGATTGTCCAATAATTTTGTGTTGCGAGACAATGGCGCTAAAGGAACTTTGGTATAATTTCGCTCGCATTCGATAGACATGAATGCACATCAAAAAGTACAGAAGTTCAGAGGTTAAATGCATATCAAATAGTGCAAAACATCAGAAATCAGCTACACAGCGAACAGTTCAGAACATCAGAGGTCAGCTACACAGCGAACAGTTCAGAACATCAGAGGTCAACTACACAGCGAACAGTTCAGAACATCAGAGGTCAACTACACAACGAACAGTTCAGAACTTCAGAGGTCAACTACACATCGAACAGTGCAGAACATCCGAGGTCAACTACACATCGAACAGTTCAGAGCATCAGAGGTCAACTACACAACGAACAGTTCAGAACTTCAGAGGTCAGCTACACATCGAACAGTGCAGAACATCAGAGGTCAACTACACATCGAACAGTGCAGAACATCCGAGGTCACTACACAATTCTACTCACGAGTTGCACAGACACCTGTGAACATGAATGCTGTTTCAGGTCCCAATTAACCTCAATATGACTCAGAACCAACCTTGATTTTCTTACATTGATTCACGTGATGTGAACGAACCGGAAAACATTGGAAGTTCACCAAACTTCCGCATTTATTGCATTCACATTAGAATCAAGGCTGACATGTGTTCGGTGTGGAACGTTATTTTCAGACTAGTGAAGGTCAACTTTTTCAAAAGATCAAAGAAACTAAATCGTTCAGAAAATTGTGTTAACACTATAAATTAAATCAAATTAGAGTTAGTTTTGCTACTTTCCTTCACCTTTGTTAATGGCTTAAATCTTTGTAATGTTTTGCTCATAAATCTACTGACATACAATCTACCGAAAACGCAAATAAAACAGAAATTGCTTCAAAATAACAAATCCATTTCATGTAATGGGAGAACACCTTCCGTCCCGACATAAATTTCTGCAAGAAAGCGGCCATGACAGAAGCAAAGGTAGCTTTCTATAGGCTCGAGCTGTGCCGAGAAGAATGCAATTCTTCTCGAGCATCAAGAACAAAAGCGGGGAAAGTCAACCACACGGAAAAGAATCTCCAAGACTCGGTAAGAGGCTGAAAGAATTTCAGGCGCAGAGAATAGAGCGCTACTTCACTAACAAGGATTTCAACGAAAGCAAGAGTGCCTTTACAGTATAAGAAAAATTGGAGGCTCTGAGCTTGTCTCTGTGACCAGAGGCAAGCACAGCACAGACAAGCACAGCACAGGCAGCAGACACAGGGACAGCACATACAAGCACAACAAAAGCAGGCACAGCACAGACAGCAGGCACAAGCACAGCACAGACAGCAGGCACAAGCACAGCACAACAGTATTCGTAGGTAGTCGGCACGAAAGTAAGGATTTTCGTTTTCATTTAACCCTTATTGCTCAAGGCATGCTCGAACTTTAATAAAATAACTTATCCCATCTTCCTGTACAAGTTATAAAATCATATTCAGGCGAAGTAAGCTACGAGTGAGTAACGTCAGATCTTCCATGGAGTGACGAAAAACAGAAGGAAATTTCTGACAACAAAAGAAGTTTTCACGGGCGCCATTTAATGCCCCAAACTGGCACCTACATGCAGTGAGTGGAGTGGGGGCCTTTTAATGCCCCAAACTGGCACGTACAGCGAGTGGAGTGGGGGCCTTTTAATGGCCTAAGCTGGCACGTACAGCTCGTCAACAAGAGGAATGCACGTACCCAAAAAAGCAATTGACAAAGCTCCCTAAATTGTCTTTCTAAGGCTCACGTCGAGACTTGTAAGATTTACGTGACGTGCGTGAGATTTAACCTTGGCGAGTCTTGAAATTTACGTCCAGAGTTTACAGAAACACGATGAGCCCTAAATATACAAAGCCATGAAACGTGAACACATGCAACCGTGTAAATAATGGGTTGAAGAACTTTTCATACCTGCAGACATTGTATGAAAAGTTTTGGTATTGCGTTGACGACGTGCAAGTTTAGGATGAATTTAAAATTCATCCTAAAAATTCTGTGAAATTATTTATATAATTGAGTTTCGAAAAATATCACATCCAAAATACTGATAAATTTTTTAAAAGGGGCTTGAAATAAAAGTGCATAAAATGGGAGCATTTGTACAATCATTCTATTACAGCATTAAATCCTTCTATCATTCAAATTACATTTAAATCCTTCAATCCTTAAATTTCCGTATACTAGAAACTTTCACGCCGAACAAAAAATTTTTCCATTCAGAACCCAGAAAACGGATAATTACGGAGTTCAATAAACGGTTTGAGGAACGATGACGGTTGAGGAACGTGAAGCGTCACGGAAGGACGCTTCAGCGGCGATAGCCGAACAGAAAATAAGAAGCCTAAAGTATGGACTAAATTAGGCAGTAAGAACGGAGACGATTCCTGTACATGACATGTATATACTGTACATGGCAATCCTTTGCATAGCGAGCTTCACACACGGCAGGTTACCTATATACAAGGCAGGTTCTACACACGGCAGGTTATATATATAAGGCAGGCTCTACACACGGTATAGGTTGCATACAAAACAGGTTTCTTCACACGGCAGGTTATACACAAGGCAGGCTCTACACACGGCAGGTAATATACAAGGCAGGTTCTACACTCCAAAGGTTCAATACAAAGCAGTATTTGTAATGTAAGGCAGCGCATAGAGCAAAGAAAGAAACCCAAAGCTCTAGTTAATAGCACCGCACATTATGAATAGGCCGCCCGCCAGCGCTGTCAATTGTGCACTATGGAACTCCTGCTATGCAATCCCGTTAACGAAATTCGATGAGATCTTAATATAGATCAGATACACATCGTATAATAAATAAATGATCTTACTTATTCAATAGAAACTGTAAACGGTAGGAAATTTAGCGCAAAATCACCTCAGACGGCGAAACTATCCGTTGTTTCACAAGAAATGAATGTAAATTTTTTTAAATTTAATCCTGGTGAATGAATCAATGAAAAATGTACATAATTATAAGCTAAAGATAACATTTTCCAGGTGCATTGAGAATAAATATTGTTGCTGAAGTTATCGTACATTAGATATTTTCTGAACCAGATTATTACAACACTTCTCTTTAACTTCACTTCCTGTCTGTCTGTCTGTCTGTCTATCTGTTACAAATCTTATAATCGTTACACGTCTACCTGTCCAATCGATTTGAAATTTGGCACACTTGCATAAAGTTGGAGACAATGCATGAATCAATTGACAGAATAAATAATTGTATACATTAAGCAAATTTTTTTCTTATTAAAAAAATTAAAAATAATTTCGTCGGCTACAAATATTATAATCCATATATGTCACAATTTGACCTGTCCAATCGATCTGTAATTTTGCACAATTGCATAAAGTCAGAGACAATGCATGAATCAGTTGAGAGAATAAATAATTTTTAAGATTTACAAAA